ATGCTCGGGGTCCCGAGCAATCAATGCTGTGTCGGGATGCCGACGGCACAATGTACTCATCTCGGGGAGGATGCAATAAATGCTCTGTATTAGGAGCATTTATTGCCTTTCATTTTCGAGTCTTACCGCATTGAATGCGGTCTCATCAAGGGAATGGTGCAATTATTGTTTGCTTTCCCAAGTCGCGTGTCAGCAACGGCATGCGGTTTCTCTGTCTTTGATGTGATATCATACGCCACGCGTCCATCCCTTATTGGCTGTGACCCCTGCATTCCAGTACGTTCTGACACTAATTGTGTAAGACGGAGGTCATGATGAATAGTCTAGACTAGCCTAGGCTAATGACCTTTACGTCAATAACTTATCCTGGAGTAGAGGAAGCGTCCAGGACGGGGTACCTCTCGGCACCGAGGAAAGGCTCATCTCGGGAACCGAGGGAGGTATGCCGACCGAGGTACCATATCAGACCGAGGCCACGTGTCGGTTGTAAAACATACTGAATGCATGATCCTATATGACGAGTACCTCGGGGGCGAGGACCTTTGCGCGCCGATGGTGCTTGATCTTATCAACAGTGTTTTAGTAATACCGATGACACGTGTCTTCATCATAGAGTATTTCAGAAAAGTCCCATCAGATGACATTACACTAGATTTTATTGAGGGTCTACCTCTTTCTAATGGATACAATGGAGTTCTTGTGGTGGTGGATAGATTGACAAGGTATGTCCACTTCATTGTTATGGTTCACCCGTAAACTGCAAAGTCAGTGGCACAACTGTTTGTTGATAATGTTATCAAGATCCATGGGATCCCAAAGTCCGTGATTACTGATCGCGATGGAGCGAAATTAACCGATTGCAAGGGTCCCAATTGTCCATGAATTGGGCGTATCATCCCTAAACGGATGGTCAAACTGAGGTAACCAACCACACCTTTGAACATTGCTTGCGCTGCTTTGTTCACCAGAATCCCAAGAGGTGGCATGATTTTTTGTAATGGATCGAATACTGTATGATACCACATATCATGCTTCTACTAAGCGATCGCCTTTTTAAGTATCTCTATGGTCGAAAACCCCCTATGTTGGTTAGTTACCAGGTGGGTTCATTTGTGAATAATAAGGTCGACCATGAACTGCAAACTCGTGATGCTTTACTTCGTGAGCTCAAGGAAATCTCGAGAGAGCAAATAACCGGATGAAGACTTATCAGGACTAGGGTCGATGTGAGGAAGTTTTCGAGGTTGGAGATTGGTTTATCTTAAAATACGACCGTATCAACAAATTTCAGTTACCCAACGAGCATTATATAAGCTAGGTAGTCAGTTTTATGGGCCGTATCAGGTGGTGAAGAGAGTTGGTGAAGTGGCATATAAGCTGAATTTGCCTTCGTCAGCACATATACTCCTCGTAGTTCATGTTTCCCAGCTGAAACGGCATGTCGGTGATCCAAGCAAAGTGATGCCACAACCACCAGCTATTGATGATGAAGGAAATATTGTCGTTTGACCACAAATAGCTTGGAAGTATCGACGAATAAAGAAGGATAATTGGTTCCGGTGGGAAGTGCTGATTCAGTGGGAGTCCTTGCCAGCGGAAGAGGCCACGTGGGAGGATCTCAATATGATACGACTATAGTTCCCTGATTTTAGCCTTGACGACAAGGATCGTCTTCATAGGGATGGGAATGATGCGAATGTTGGTAGAGAACTGAAGAATGCCTATAATCGTGTGAGGAGAATGAAGATGCGTGAGGAGAAGAGGTGTGGGTCCATTAAAGAATCCGCAGCTCACACGAGATAATGAGTTTGCATGGCAGCATTTATTGTGTTTATTTTCTATTAATGTAGATTTATTTAGTTTCCATATATTTAGGGAGTAGTTATTGAGTTGCTATTATATGCTATTGTTTAGCTGATTTTTAGGAGGAGAAGGCGGGTTCCTTTGCTATTTCTATGGTTTTTATGCAGTTGATTTGGGGGGGGAGGGGGGGGGGGATACTAAAACGTAATCATCACATGCAATACATTCTTAGTGTCATGATGTATCAATATAATAAAAGAAAAACAGAGAAATTTGGTTTTAGGCCGGGTTCAACATTTTTAAGGTCAAAAATCTATAAAATCAATTATTGATAAAAATATTTTCAATGAAAGAAATTATTTAAAAACTTTTACCATTATATAATTTTTATATTTAATTTCACTACAACAATCATCTGAACGCCGCCACCACCATCACCATTAAGCACCATAACCACCTGTCGCCAACTATTACCACTATTCATCACCACTAACCACCACCTCCACCACCATCACCCACTATCGCCACCAACCTTCACTGTCATCCACCCATCGTCACCCTCTCACCAACCACCACCACCACTCACAGTCAACCACCATCACCCACTAAAACCCACCACCCCCCAACCACCACCACCCATTAAAACCCACCACCATCGCCGTAAACAACCACACCCACAATCGTTGCCAACCACAACCTACCACCATAATTCACCACCATCATCGCCCACTACCACCACCAACATCACCACCCCTCTCTCACCCCACCACCAACCACTACCCATCACCTAAAAATAGTAAAAATTAGCTCACTATCTAAAACAATAAAAAACTAACCTACCATTCAACATTGTCGTCACCCACAACCAAATCCACAACTACTACCCACTCACCACGACCCACAAATCGCCACCGCCACCACTACTCATCATTTCTGCCAACCACCACCATCCAAAATATTAAAAAACTAATCCACTATGCAAAATAGTAAAAAATTAATCCACCACAAAAAACAGTAAAAAACTAACTCATCACCTAAAATAGTAAAAATCTAACCCACCACCCCACCATCACTGCCAACCACCTCCATCTACCTCTCAAAAGAATAAAAAACTAACCTATCACGCAAAATAGTAAAAACTTAACCAACCACCCAACATCGCCACCAAACACCACCCACCACCATAATCCACCATCCCTAACACCACCAAACATCGTCGCCATCACCACTGCTCACCACTAGGGATGGCAGTGGACCAGAGAAAAAAAGGTATTCATCCAAACCCGTTAAACCTGCACGGGGATGAAGGTAGGGATATATATATATATAAGATCATAAACCCTAATCTCATTCTCACCCACGCACCCATAAAGTTAATATCAAAATTCAATGACCCACTTTTTTTTCTTTGTCTAATAAGGTAAGATCTATTACCTTTTGTGTACTTTTTGATGACTTTTGTTAGATTTGTGATAAATTTTGTTAGATCTAAGCATTTGTGTTGTGTTAGCTATCGAAAGTTTTTGTTTCGGATCTATGGTGCGTTAGATACGATGTTTTTAGATGTTGCTTGTTCTGATTTTTTTTTTTTTTTTTTTTTTTTTGTGTTAGATCTGCAATTTTCATGTGTTAGATATGCAATATTTTGAATTTTCTAATTTTATGCTACTTGAATATGGTATTTGTTGAATTCTAATTATAGCGTTAGATATGATTTTTGCTGATTTTTGAGTTTATTCTACTTGAATATGATTTTTGCTCTTTGAAAATTATTGGATAGACTTTTTGCTTGAAAAGTGCTAGATAGACTTTTTGCCTACTCACTGTACCACATGTTAGTCCTTATTAATGAGAAAAATTATGTTGCAATCTTTCGTTGGTGTCATGCAATTTTTTGAATTATTTACAATGTTAGATTATGCTGGGCCTGGGCCTGGGCTTGGGCCTGGGCTTGGGCTTGGGCAGAGGTGAATGCGAGGATTACAAATTTATCCAAATAAATAAAATAAACAATTTAATAATCAAACTCGGTCTATAAAAAGATAAAAAGATAACAATTGAGAAAATATTTCAAACTCGGTCTATTTTCTGTGCTTGTAACGTCTCTTCCTCCACCCATTGCCCCTTTTTCGGCCAATGAAGGCAATGATACCCATGTTGCTAATTTTACATCAATTTTCAAAGATAACTCAGCAAAGCTTTCAATTGTGGTATACACGTCGGCCCGTAGTTCACCTGTCACGTCGCCACATTCCCCATTCGTTCATTCTTACAACTGACCTTTCTCTCGTCACATCTGCCCTTGATTCAGTTTTGGCGACCCACGTCCCTATTTGCGTGGCGGCGTTTGACTAATATCTGATGGGATGAAATTCAATTACACTATTGGATAGCGCTTGATTGGGTTGTAATGTGATGTTTTGGGAGTTGGCTTTATAGAAAAAAAAAGGCAAAAATTAGTACGATACCTTAAAGATAAAATGAATGTAGGGCTCACACTTATATACTCTTAAATTTATTAAAACGTATAATTGATTTAATTGATATATATTTTAAAAATAAATAAAACCTCTACAAACTTAAAAAAAAGTGATAATATAAATTAAAATTAATTTTAAAAAATGATAATTATTTATCTTAATTAAACCTAAATAAAAATATAATAAAAACCTATAACCGGTTTAACATGTATATATTTTAAAAATAAATAAAACCGCTACACACTTAAAAAAAAGTGATAATAGAAATTAAAATTATTTTTAAAAAATGATAATTATTTATCTTGTTTAAACCTAAATAAAAATATAATAAACAATTTACAATATCTAAGTTCATCACTATTTTAATTGATAATAAAAATTATAATTAGTTTTAAAAAATTATAATTATTTATCATATTTAAAACTAAAATAAAAATATAAGAAAAATTTTACAATAGGTGATTGAGTGACATTAAATTTAAAAATATTAGAGGTTAGGATTAAGTTATTAAGTTTACGGAGGGTAAATTACAATTAAAGTTTAGCACATATTTTTTTTTTTTGGCTATTACTAAAATGTTACAACAAGTTATATTGTCACAATTTTTTTGGGTAAAATTGTCATTTTTTGGGGTTATATTTTGGTTTAAGTTAAAATTATTACAACATTTGTTTTTCAAGCTAAATAAATTATAGCAAAGTTATCAAATATGTTAAATTAAAATAGGTCAAATAATTTGAGAAAATGTGAAATTAATTAAAAGTTGAGGGTGTAATATATAAAATATGAGGAAAAATTGAAAAAAAAGTGATAATTTTGAGGTATAAGTGAAATTTAGTGAAGCTAAAATCTTGATAGATGGTTTGAGCGATCAAGATTAGTCAGCGATCAAGATTGGTTTGCAAACTTGATCGCTAAGGAATGCCCGATTGCTAAATAGCGATCCAAGTTAGATCACTCAATATAGCGATCAAATTTTTTCTTCCATTCCCCCAAACAAACAAAAAAGAAACTGAAAACCTAACTCCTCAAACCCTAAATCAGTGATCTAACCCTAAATCAACGATCTAACCCCAAGTCTAAGCCCAAATCGATGAAAACTCATCCTGATTGCATACCTAAAACTAGGGGTGTCTCGTGTCGTATCAGTTTCGTGTCGTGTCACTTTCGATCGTGTTATTTTCGTATCGCATTACTTTCGGTATGTGTCGGGTTCGTGTCAATATTCGTGTTAATAAAAAATTATTTAATTTGAAAACAACTAATATAATACTATTTAAAAAATTATAAAATTCTTATTTTATATCTAAAATACTCATTAAATAATTATTTTTTATTTATAGTACCCATTATTCGTGTTATTCGTGTTGAACCTTAATTTGACTCATTTACTTCTCGTGTCAACAAATCGTGTTATTTTTGGGTTTGTGTCGGGTTCGGTTCGAGTCGGGTTTGTGTTCGAGTCAAAAATTGACACCCCTACCCAAAACGCTAAATCATGTGAGGGCTTCAAAGTTTGGTGCCCTACGAAACAGCCTACATCATGCTTCTTCGTCAGAGAAGAGAAAGAAAGATGTCTGCGACTTGGGGTCTCGTGGTTATCTAACTTGTGTGTGGAGTGTATACTGTACAGTGATTGTCACGAGAATTCGGCTCTTCTACTGTAGTTTTCTTTTCTTTTCTTTTTTTGGTTTAATTAGCGAAAAAATAAGTTTCTTTTATCATATTTTTGTATACATAGTTGTAGGGCTATTAATCAAATTGAGTTATTTGAGTTTGGTTTGACTTCGACTCGAGTTCAGCTCGTTCAGACTCGATTCATTTTCTAAACGAGTCCGAACTTGAACAAGTTTTTAGGCTCGTTTAAAAAACAAGTCATACAAGTTCAGCTTAAACTCGAGAAACTTGACTCGTCTATGTGCAAATACTCGGGCTCATTCAACTAACAGCCCTACATAGTTGTCTCTCTCTCTCTCTCTCAATTTCATAAAAAAAATTTACAAATAGTTGCATAAGGGATGTGTTTTGGGGTTGAACAAATTATGGTTTTTGTGAGTAATGGTTCAAAAGTAATGCAATCCTATTTTCCTCACATTTTCATCAATTGTTATTGCTCAAAATAATAGATAATTTTTCATGTTATTACTCTTTTTTTTTACTAGATTTTTTTCTTGTTACAACAGAATGACCGATAGAAAGAAATATAGGTCAAAAGTTGTGGATACCAGTGAAAAAATGAAGAGGAAGAAAAACTGTAGTGATCCTCCCTCCTCCTACTCGAAGAACAAATGTAATCATCCTTCCTCCATTGATTCCACTGTTGATCCCACCTTCTTCAATCCAATTGATCCCACTGTTAATCATCCACCAAGTTCATCCAACCTCATATGCAATGAGGACATATTTTTCTTCAACAAAAATCGCAAACAGTGGTGTGAGAACTGCTTTAATTATAGGCCTTTGTTATTGGAAATGGTGTTTTATTAGATCAATTAAAAGAGGTAGAATGTGATGTTATTTTTTCTCTTAATCAATGGAATTTTGTGGTAGATATCAAGAAGACAGATAAAGCATATAATACATTGGTGAAGATATTTTATTCTAATATGTATGATATTGATAGAGATGATCACAAGTTTAAGTCCCTTGTGAGGAACGTAAGTTTTGAAGTAACTCCAGAGTTAGTTTCAAAAATATTGAGAGTTTGTCGACCCTTCATTCCTAACAATACCCTTACCTATCCAATCAAGAATTTTAAGGACATTCCTAAACTGAAAGATGTTCATGCAGAAATTGAGGGTTTACCTAATAAATTTAGTGAGAGTGTTGACAATCCATAATTTTTTCAACAAGATCGTACTCCCAAATATAGGATGTTAAATCTTATAGTGGGGGTACAATATTATACCAAGAGGACATACTACTAATTTTGGATTTGATCGAGCTCATCTCTTGTATGTCATTGGACATGGTATATGTATAGATTTACCTTGTTTAATAGTTGATGAAATTATTTCGGTACAAGGTATGAAGGATAGGCGACGATGTCTCCCATTCCCAATTTTGATTTCAAAGATTATGGAGGATTGTAGAATTGTGATTCACTCAAGCAACACTTTCTCCACTCCCATGAATCCAATTTATGGTGGGACAATAAAGAAGAGTTTGGGGCAGGAAAGAAGAATAAAACTCAACAACCTTAGCCACAAGTCGAGAATGAAGTTGAAGCTGATGATGATGAAGCCCAAGCTCAGGATGTCCCAAATTCTTCCACCACTGGTGTCCCAAATTCTTCCACAGCTGGTGTCCCAAATTCTTCCACAACTGGTCTTCCTCCTGATCCATTGTAGGTATATGGAATGTTGTTGGTACGATTGGGCAGAAAGATGGAGAAATTTGAAAATACTCAAAATGAAATAAATGAGTCTCTGAAGGGGATCGATAGTAGGTTGGATAGAATTGAGTCTTTTTTTTATGAAAAGAAGAGCAATAGCTAGGAAGTGACAATTGTATGTAATTGTAGTTGTTGGTTTTTGATACAATAGTTGAACTAGCAGTAGTGACAATTGTATGTAATTGTAGTTGAACTAGCAGTAGTGTTTTATCAAAAATCTAAAATATCTTTGTTCTTTATATATAAAATGAGCATGGTAATGATTGTGATAAGCATGATTGTGGTAATTTAGTAGTAAGATTATAGATTCTTACCGTAATTTTACCTCTAAAAATACACTAAAAAAGTTGTATTCTTACACCGTATACACTAAAAATTTGATTAATTGACGATTATTTCAGATGTTAATTTATTGAATTAAGTGTTAATTGGATGGATATGAATGTTAATCTAATTTGATGAGTTGAATGGTAGACGGAAGTTAATTTGATAAATTAAATATAAATCGATGAAATTGAATGTTAGTTTAACAAAGTGAATTTTTATTGGATGTTAATTGAATGATTTTGGATATAAATTGGATGAATTTAATATTAATTAAGTTGAATTTTAATATTAATTTGATAAATTGAATGTTTTAATGTAATATTAATTTGTTATGTGAATTAAGTATTCAGTCTCTTGCTAGTAGATGCAGTTTATGTGAGGTGGAGGAGGAGAGTTCTAGTCATTTATTGTTTTGGAGGAGGAGAGTTCTAGTCTCTTGAAGGGTTTATAGGGATAAAAACAATTCTGCAACTCCATGTTTTGATATTTCTCCTTCTTCTTCCCTGTTTGAGTTTTTTTTTTTTTTATGAAAAGACTATTGCTTAATCTTAGTTTTAATGATGATGATTTTATAATCTCTTGAAGCGTTCACAGGGATAAAAACAATTCTACAATTCCTTCTTCTTCGTCTGTGTTTTTTTTTTTTATGGAAGCGTAAGGCTCAGTGGTAAATAGTCGGTAAAAAGTGTTGATGAAGGTGGGTAGTCGGCAAAAAGTGTTAGACTTGATCACCGGTGGAAGTTTTTCATTATTTATCAATCGTTTATTTTATTTTTTTGGTATCATACCAAAAAATATAATCGATACTCTAGTCAAACCGATATTTTGAGTTTGGTGATGGCTGTGAAAAGTTGATGGTGTGTGTCCAATGACAATGATTGATTGTTGTATGCAATGCGGTTCAGAGTGGTGATAGAGTTAGGTTTGGTGGTGCTACAAATCTGAGGTGGTGGATGGGAAGTGATGGCTCTAGAGGATCCAGTGTAGAGAGATTATGGAAGTGATGGCTCTAGAGGAACTACTGTAGAGAGACTAGGGATTGAGGGAGGGGAATTTTTTTTCTCTTGTAATTATGACAATTCATGTGTTGAATTTCACATCAACTACGAGTTGAATTCCGAACCTTAGTTATATGTATCAAAAAATATATTATGTTGAAAGTCATATTTTATTTTTTTTTTTGGGAAGGAGAGGGGAAATGAGATTTGAACCCTTAACTTTAAAAAAATAAAATCTTCACAAATTAAAGAATATTATTAACCAAAAACCCATTGATCATAAAAGCCTAGAGAATAAATGAATACTAATTTTGGGCATTTCATATTGAATTCACCCATGTTGGAAGATATATTACTTCTTTTTTTTTTGTTATTAGAGAAAAGGGATGAAGTAAAAGAGAGTGCTCAAAAATCACTTCGATAAGACTTTACTGGTAGAATCATAAGGTCCCTGACCGCACCTATTACTCTTTTCGGGAACGAACATAGTTATACTAGTATAACGATCAACTTTATAACTCAAACATTCAACTTCATGATGAGAAGTTCGATTGGTATTTCACTTGAACACCCCACTCGGTGGCTGCAAGATCCTACTTGCTGTCTCTATCTGTTTATTTTTCTTTATTCGTTTTATTTTTGCCGGTGCTGGTTGGATTCGAGTTGTCCACTGCTAAAGTGTTAAAAACAGTTAAACAAAACAGACAACAAAAGGGTTGAGAATCGTTGGCTCTTGAGATATGCGTAGATTTGGATGGGAGGCATTCACACGATCGATTGGAAAGCCATAATGTTACGTCTGAGACTGAGACTCTTCGCCAAAGATCTCGACAATCTTTGAAGCTGGTATAATAGTCTATCACGCCTAAACATATTTAAATAAAAAATATTTATAAAAAATTTAAATTATTTTTATAATCTAATTAAATAACAGATTATGTTCCGAAATAATTAATTCTCATTTTAATTATTTATTTATTATACCAATATTTGAGTATCTAATTTTTTTTTATTTTTTAAGGTTTCTTCCTAGTTACTTTAAACATTTTTTCTTTTATTTATAATAAAGTTTCATTGTAAGATTGTCATTTATTTGAATATCTTAATATATTAAATATTTATTATATTTTTTTATCAAAGAGATTAAATAAATTATAAAATATTATTTATATTATAATATTATGATATTATTGCGTATAAAAAAAATTATATATGATATATATTTGATAGTAAAAGTCAATCTGACAACTAAATGTAGATAATAATAGAATACAAAAGACTGTATGTAAGTAAACTACTAATAACTGAGTTCAAAATAATTTAAAAATCAAGTACTACTTATAAAAGAGTCCAAAAGAACTTAGAAGTTAAATATGAATAAAAAATAAAAATTATATGAAAATAAATATGTAGGTATAATTGATTTTACGATAATAATTAGGGATAAATTAAGAAATTAAATTTTTTTATAGATGCTAACATTTATAAATAGTAAAAATATAGGTATACAATAACAACATATTTAAAATGTAAATTAGAAATTAACAAAATTGTCCATAAAGTAGGTGTATCTAGTCAATTAAAGCATTGTCATAATTTATTTTTAAAAGCTCTTTTTCCAAATTTCAATCAATATAGTCAAATCGAATAGATATTGTGACAATAAATAACCCTTTTTGTTTATTATTTGAACCAAGTCCATTATAAATAAACTAAAAAAAAAAATTTAAATAAAAAAAAAGTGTCACATGCCAAAGATATATAGAACTTACAAGACCATCTTATCTTGTAAAGAATGTATGGTTATTCTGATGAGTAATATTATTGTGACGTATTTCACTGTAATCTTTAAATTGAATATGAGTTCTATCAAACATTAAAAATTGATATTTATCCAATTATTTGAATTAAATTACATTATTATGTAAGTAAGTAAAATCAGATTTTTATGTCTAAATAGTATCACTCTATTCTGAATGCATATATTAGTGCTTAGAGAGAGTTTCTTTAGGATTTAAAAGTTTTATAAAATCCAATATTAATAATATAGCTACAAAGAAGGGTAATCTTCCTAAATTTACAAGGCATGGAAGAAACCTTTGGCTTCACCTAACTTGAATGCTGCCACAAATATGCGCTGCAAAGGAGCATTTATTACTCAAGATTTGGTGCATCTTAACTTGAGGCGATCTCATTTTATCCCATCTACTATTAAATTTTTTTTCATATTGCCGTGAAACTATTGAAAAAGGTTCACTTTTTATCTCGATTATTGTCACTTTTCTAATATTGTCGCTTTAACTATTTTAATACGTTTCACATAGCCATAAACTCAAACGATTGTTAGATTTTCAATGAAAAATGGCCACATTCCTGATAAATCAAACCATAAATGTGGTATGATTAGGCAAGAAGCAGAAATACTAAAATCTCTGTATTTCTATGTGATATTGTCAGTCCTAGATATTCCCAATGTGAATAACTATATCCAAAACTGACAAAGAATAGTTATAATCTCAGCATCCCTAACAAACTAGTTATATCTGATTAATCCTAGTGAAAATGCATACTGATTGAACAATAATGGAATGTTATCAAGGTACCATATGCCAAACATAAGGCACAAAGCCATGAACAGGTGTACAGGTAGGTGTGAATATAATTAGTGTGTTTGCCAGCTCATTTATTCATGATTCTTGGTGTTTACATATATTTTGTCCAATTTATACTATCCTTGATTTACTAGTAACTTACAGTTAGCTTTGAAGTTTTTGGTTCTTGGGGTAAAAGTTAGCTTTCAAGTTGGAAACACAACAACTTACAAAAAAATAGTTTTCAAAACTTAGGAGTTATACGATTTTCTTCAATTGTATGCCTCATGAAATCCGACTTAAATAGTGGAGAATATTATGAACAAGGTCATACACAGTTAAATTAACGAAGTAAAAAGAACACAGAACACGTAAATATATCTCGTAAAAGTTTATCCAGATAAACCATAAAAGTGTCAGGATTAAGCTAGAAGCACACATATTTTTGGAATACCTACTTTTCACTAATAATGGTTGGAATTTCAGTTTCTCTACTAAACTACTTGCCTTTTGATCAATTTACTAAAAATATTGGGGCAATATTTTAAGGGAACCTCAAGTTATGCTAATCCTAGGTATCAAGATATCATATGACAAACATAAGGCACTTAAGCCATGTACAGGTAGGTGTGAGTATTATTAATGTGTTTGCCAGCTCATTTATTAATGATTTGATTCTTGGTGTTTACATATATATTTTTTCCATTCTATAGTATATTTGATTTAGTTATTATTTACAGTTGAAGTTGGAGACAACTCAATTCCATATGTGGCCTTCAAAAAAATATGCAAAAGATTTGTCATCTACATCTGGTGCGCACTTCTTGTAATTAAAGGTATCAGCACTTCATGAATTGTTTATGAAATTAAGTGATTCTTCAAAATCTTAGGAGTTAAGCAATTTTGTTAAATGTTAAGTGATGGGGATCGTGTAGGAATAAGATAGATATTATAGATTAATTATGATAGTTATTTAGATACTTTTAATAGTTATCTTTTAAATCTTTTTTTTAACTTTTAAGGGTTTAGTTGTCATTTTG